TTGCTAATATGACAGTTTACTTAGCAAAAACCAAAGATTTTAGAGCGCTTGCGCTATAATCATTTGATTGGACCGACAGGACAACTGATTTGGTGGTTGCCTAGCAACATAAAAAACTGCAGCGCACTCTGCTCTTTTTTTTTTTAGTCACCAAAAAACCTAAAAAAACGCATCCTGTCTGATCGGGGCCATATTCATATAGTATATCATACAACCCAAACTGAGGAAAAACAACTCTCCTGCTTACCAGTAGCAAAGAGTTGGAGATATAAAAACCTCCAAAGCATGACTTACCGGGTTTGGTTGCTTTGAGGGAACCATCTCTGTTGATGACCACATCTGAACTGTCCATGAGGAGCATGCTTTGACCACTAAGGATGCTTCCCAGCAGATCTGATACAGGGGCTTCCTCTGCAACATCTGCCACCTGTGGGACACTCACACCTCGCCTGGAAACCAGCACACGACTAGGATCACCTATCCAAAACTCAAACTTACTTTCATTATGATTTTCATCACCATTAAGTAGAAATTATCCGTTTCCTCCACCGAGACCATAAAGAGCGACCCCCCCCCAGTAGCTACCTGGAGAGTCCGGCAGATATGGGTCTGGCCACAGGCTGATGGGATCGCAAGGCAGAACAGGAGAGGCCACGGCGTTTAGCATCCAGAACAGACGATGGCGTCGGAACTTGAATCTCATCCTCCCTAAAAAGATAAATCCAAAAACTAAGTTAACCACTCACTTCTTAAAAATAGCTTGCAAATATAAATTGTTAATGAGAAGACCATCATAGTACACTAAATTAAACGTCACCTATCATCAAAGGGGTCCAGGTCAAAGGGATCTCCATACACTGAGAGGGAGGCTGCTCCGATTTCTGCACGCATACTTCCTAAACTGTACTCTGAAGGCCGATAAACTGAAGGAATCATGGAGCCAGACTTGGGCTTCTTAATGCCTAAACTCCGTGCAATACGACCTCGGGAATTGGTTCCCTTCTTTAGGACATGAAAGGGCAAAAAGATAGAAAACACACTTTTATGACACAGACATATAACTACAAACCTTCATGTCCTCTTGCATGGAGAAGGTAAAGCAATACTTTTAATCAGCAAAACATTTATATAAGAGCTTTCAGCACTGTGGTAGAAAACCACAGGCTACAGAAACATCAATAAAACATCAATTCAAATTGTAGTGGTTATACATCTGCTGAGAGCTCACCAGTTTTCTTCTCGATTTTGACCTCCTCACTTTGCGTTTCCGTCTCTTGACTCCCATTTTTGTTTTACCCCCTGACGTTGCTGAAGATTTGCTTTTGGTTTTCCTTCTTTTAACTGCATGAACAAGTAAGAGAATCCCATTCAGATCAGACAGAAACAACAGACAGAACCACACCCAACTGAACAGCCAGGTTAATGAAATCTAACCCTGATCACACCTGGTATTATGATCCATCTCAGGTTACCCAATCAGGCGAAACGGTTAGTAGGCAGCAACATTAGTTTATACTTTTAATCAGCAAGGACACATTAAAGGGGTCACATGATGTTGCTAAAAAAGAACATTATTTTGTGTATTTGGTGTAATGAAATGTGTTTATGCGGTTTAAGGTAAAAAAAA